CTCCCCCGGCCCCCTTCCGCAGTTCCTGGCACCTGCAGCAAGCCAGCGCTCCCATGCCCCCCCCCGTAGTCCCTGCATTGCTCCTGCCCCTCCTCCCCCCTCAAATAACCAGAATTTTTAGGTTACCAGCATGCCCTAATCCCTAGGCGTGCCGGATAACACAGGTTTTACTGTATGTGAGATGGGAATTATAAAACTGTATGGCATACTTCCAGGCTCTAGGCTGAAATGACCTACCTTTCTTGCATGACTGGGAGCTTAGAGATCAAAAGTACAGTAAACAGGTAAAAAGGACTTTTCAGGAGAAGAGGGAGTTCAGAGTCAGTGAGCTTTGACAGAGAGAGAAGCTGAAAGGAATGCTCAGTGCAGGAATCTGCAGGTAATGGACCTCATATCCAGGTATTGCCGAGCCTTAGGGGAAAAGTAGGCACATGTATAGGCTGGTTTATTATTTTAAAGATATATATTCTCCTGAGATGCTTTTGGTTGTGTACAAATAATACTTTGCTTTAAAGATGCAGAATGCCACCCTTATGTGACCTGAGGGAACAGAACTGCAGTGTCTGAGTCCAAGTCAGACCTGTTAGGGTAATCACAGTTGATATGTAGTGAAGCGCAACCAGGGCCCAGTTTGAGTTTGGGAGCATCCTGTGGTTCTCCCTCTGGTCAGGTGATAGTTGGAAGTTTGAGGAGGAGAAGGGGGAAAGGAAGGTATACTTGAAGAGACCAGGATGGTGGATCACCAGGAGCAAAGACCAGGCGCAGTTATCCCAGTAACTGATAGTTGCTTACTGTATCTTAGTCTCATGTCATTTTCAAATAACTGCTTATTAGTGTATACTTGACATTGCCCTTGATCTTACTATATATTTTGGAAATATGTGTCTGTCGGTCCATCTGTCTGAGTTGGTTTGTTCAAGAACGCCCCCTATATGGTAAGAGCCACCAAATTTGCAGCTTCGTCTTACAACTTAAAGCAAGGTCAGGGATGGTTGTGCCAGGACAATGGGATGTGCTTGGAATTAAATTGTTTCTCATAAAGTGGAAAGGGAGAGATTTGGTACGAGGGACAGTTATACTGCAGAGTGACCATGGGAAGGTGAGGGAGCAAGAGGGCTGGGACAGCTTTATCCCCCAATGGGACAGCAGGGGGCAAGGGTGGAGAAAGGGACAGCTATTCTAGTATATATTTCAGAGAGTTTGTCTGTCTGTGTGTCTGTCTCCTGCTGGGGAACATGCACCCTTCCTCTGTCTGTGTCAGTTGGAGCTGCAGTGTCCGTGAGGCTTCTAACCTGGCCCCAAGCTGCTGTGTTGACGGAGCTGGGGTAGTCCTCTCCGCCCAGAGCAACCTGCATGCTGAATCCCTCATTCCCAGCTCCACCCAGAACAAAGATTTAAATGAAGAAAAACAAAACTTTATTTGAGTTAAGGATCTGAGCAACACTGGGTAAATCTTCTAGTACAGAATAAAGCTGGAGTAGGAAATATTTGATAGAATTTGAAAATTGACAAATGGGCATTCTATCTCCATTGAGACTGCCATGTGGAAGCATTTCACATATGACAGACAAACAGCCATACAGTTGATTCAGTGTACATCTGTTGCATAAGACAGAAATAGTATTTACTTTCTTTTTAATAGGAGCAAGAATCTGATCTTCAACCACCAACTCTTCCTGAGCCTAAACAGGGAATGTATGATCTCTCAGCAGCCAATTTCAAGATGCATATAGCAGAAGGTAATTTAATTATTTTCTTGTAGCTGCAAGTGATTGGTACAAACATTTTGATCTAATTAGGGCAGAGCCTGCAATATTTGTATGATCTTGTTAAACTTTTGAGAGAAATGGTGGGCTAGTCTCATCTTCTTGCCCCAAAATCCCTAACCAGTGGGAAGATATAACTTACAAACCCCATCAGTTAAACACATTAGACACTAGGGTTGTGAAATTAAGCACTCAAAAGTTAGGAAATGGCCATATTAAGGTTGCACAAGCAATCTTAAATTAATCACCTGATGCATATGCATTATGATAGTTTTGGAGTACAAGATTATATACCATCCCTCTCCCCACCACCATCACACACACAGGAGCCCAATTTTGTTTAGTATACAAGATGGGCAGTGCTCAATTAATGAGCCACCCTGCACTATTTTGTTTTATGCTTATGATTCAGTGTGTGGACCTACACTTTATTTACTGTGTTTTATTAAAAAACCCTTCTAGGGAGATAGAATTATTCGTTTCATCATGGGCTCTTGTATGGCACTCATCACTATAGTATCTAAATGCTTCATGAGCATTACTTTGTCTATACATATTCTTCACACGCCACACATATTCCAACTTCTGCTTTGAATGAAGCAGAGGTCCTATAGACAATAGCCTCTTTTACTCAATAGCCTTGATTCACCCCTAGAGGAAGTACTATCTGTACACTGAATGAGGCAAGTGTCCTGTGGAAAAATAATATGTGATCATGTAATTACATCAGTATCATAATTCCGACACACACATGAGTTAACGTTGCACAGGCAACCTTAATTCTGGCATTTTGTGATTTTTTTTTTTTTGAATAGCTGACTCTGCATCCTTAACATTCTTAAGTTTTTGTGTATAATTTCCTAGGATTTAAAAATAGCTAACTGAAAAAAACAAAATTCCATCATGTGGAATTATAGTGACACCTATATCATTCGTTAGTAGAGTTGTAATCTTTAAATCTACCACACTAACTTCTGACACTTGAGCTAACCGAGTAACTTTGATAGTGGTTGTAGGTTGTTGCCTTGTATGTGACCTAACATTAGCAGGGGATGAAAGACACACTTTGCCATTTGGTTTCACAGGTATTGGCTCACTGCAGAGGAATGTTGAGACTCAGGAATCTTGGGTTCAGTTCCTGGCTCTGGAGCAAAGAGTTCTCTAGTGGGCACAGTTCTCCAGTTTTGCCCAGTTCTGGCAAACTTTGCCTGTTCTGCCCCATCTCCTCTAATCTGGCTGTGTCTGAGGCTTCTGTTGTACATAGTCTCTGCTTCGCATTCCAGTCTCAGTCTGCCTAATGAGTCTTTGCCCCTCGCCTCCCTCCTCTATGTTTGTTGTAAGGTCTCCATGCCTCTTCTCCCTGTACCTAAGTTCAGTCTTTTTGCTTAAGTAATCATGCCTCCCTCCCTTTTTGCGCAGTCTCTTTCTCCTTGGTCCTCTCCTCCCCACTCCAATTAGCTCTAAGTCCCAGTCTCCCTTCATGGACTGCTCATCCAGTCTGTCTCTGTCTCATCCCTGGCTTTTGTCCCAGTATCATGTTTCAGCAAGTCCACTTATCACCTTGCATCGTGCCCTCATCTCATATCAGTGTTCCCTTTCCTAGCCAAGTAGTTCCTAGTCTCTCTCAGTCTTCAGCAACTTAACTGGATGGGCCCATGACCCAAGTTTGAAAATCCCTCATCTACATCATCATTGCATTATCTACCTGTTCTAAATGAGAAATGTCAACTTAATAAAGTAATATTATAGTTTACAAACTACATACTAATTAAACTCTTAGGGTACGTCTAAACTATGTGCTGTTTTCGAAAGAGGATATACAAATTGCACAGCCATATCTTCTTCCGATTTTATTTTGAAAGTAGTCTGGATGCTGTTTTTTGGGAAAAAAACCCCTCTTTTTTGGAAAAAAAAGCATAAACCTCATTTTTTAAGGAAGAGCATTTTTTTTAAAAAGGATACCCCTCCCCTCAAAAAAAACCGCGTCCAGACTACTTTTACTTTTGAAAGTGAAATTGGAAGAAGATACGCAAATTCCTGCGGAATTTTCATATCCTCTTTTGAAAACAGAATGTAGTCTAGACATAGCCTTATATTGTCTGGACCAAAAGTACAAGTCAATATATTTCAAATCTTATTGGAAAAATACCTCACAGTAATTACATTGTTTTTAGTATGTGATTTCTCATCCCTTTTTAAAACATTAAAGTACATTGAAGATTGCACTTGTTCATTTTGTGGGGAGAACTCAGTGGTGTGAAATCTCAAGTTATTCATGGCTGATGGACAACAAGAGACAGATCGGGGATAGTTGGGGATATTTACATGGGGCAAACAATTTTTATAGGTGGAAAGCAGGTTTGCTGCACCCGGCCATCTTAAAGGTTCATTAGAGATCAAAAAAGCACAGGACTGAGTATTTTGTAAGTCTTTGTTTATATGGTTCCTGGTTATGAAACTAGACTATAAAGTAATAGTGAGTCTACTAATTGCATACAAATATGAAAAAGGAAACAATCCCAGATAGAAAATTGTACCAATAATTCTTTTTTCATCAATCTTTTTTCAGCAAGATTCATGAAAAAAGATTTATTGGTACAAGCCTAGAGCTTTTTCATTCAAACATTTAAACTAGAATGGAATTACAATAGAACCTGCCTACAATGAATCTCCATTTAGAGTAAAGTTGTTCTGTTAGCAGGAGCCTACTTTGGGAGTGGGTAAAGGATGGGGGAAGCAGTGACAGAGACTTCATGATAAGAGGTTTCCATACTTTTATTTCTTCTTTGTCTATACTTTGTCCATGTCCTTGCATTAAAACATTTGACATTCTTTTCTTTGTATTTAGTTCCTATTTTGTGTTAATGTGAGTTGCCTTTGTGGTGTTAGTGCTTCATGCTACTGACTCGACTGCTACAGCTACACTAGAGAGTTCAGAGCAGGAAGACAGTGATGCCACTGTAAGCTCTTTAATGTAACCTCTCCAAGCTGAAGGGAGAGCTCTCTCTCATTGGCTTTACTATTCCAGCCCCATGAGCAGAGTATCAGTATCAGTGGGAGAAGCTCACCCACTGAGATATTGTAGACAGCATTAATGCTTAGGTTGGTGTAGCTTGAGTTGTTCAGGTGGGGTTGCTTTTTCACACATCTGAGCGACATGTTATGCCATAGTGAGTGCTAGTGTAGACATAGCCTAAAGCACTTAGGCACCAATTTTTAAAGTTATTTAGATATTGCCTTGCTGTAACAATGCCTAACTGATTTTGGAGCCTAAATATTTTCAGAGGGGTTCTTGGCACTTAGGAGTCTAAATGTCAGCAACAGCCAATGGGATTTAGACTCCTAAATGCCTAAATAATTTGTTCTTGACAAATCCATGTCTGTTTTTACTTATAACCCTAGATATTCCTCTTATCTTCTGGTTGTTTACTACGAATGTTAGCATGTTCTTGTTTACATGATTAACCAGTACTCTTTGGCTCATCAGTTAATCCTAATAGTTACACACACCAGCTCCTTGCTATCAGTATCAGAGGCAGCAGCAAGGGGGTGGGGAGCAGTAGGGAGCTGGTGCTCAGTAGGAGCCAGCTAGTTTTTTATGATGGCCACTGTTTCAGATACATGTGAATTGAGACACCACTCCCCCCCCCCCCCTTTTTTTCTTTTAAAGGTGATCACTTTATCAAATTCTTTGCCCCTTGGTGTGGCCACTGTAAAGCTTTGGCTCCAGTCTGGGAACACCTGGCTTCAAGTCTCGAATATTCTGAAACTGTCAAAATTGGCAAGGTAGGTTAAAAGCTCTTTTACAACTGAAAATATACCTCCTTTGGATGACTGTATTAGTCAAGTAGCATGTTTCTCATCCTATAGCCTGTAAGCCATACTTTATTTACTCTATTTTGGATGTCACTTAATAAATCATTTCACCTTTACAAATCTCATTTTAATTTTGAGCTTGCTATTTCTCTTATATTGTACATGGGTCCATGTAGTTTATTTATTCTGATGAGATGGCCAACTCTGAACTGACAAGACCAATTCATTTTATATAAGGGCATACCAGAAACTGGTATGTTCCCTAGTTGCTGTGTTTCAGAGGAATGAAAAAACAGAAAGGGCAAATATAGTAGATGTTGAGAGAAATATTTTCAGTTTTGATTTTTGTGTTACACTGCCCTTGCTTCATAGATTTCAAGATTTATTATCAGTAGTAAAAATTATTCTTCCTCTTCTAAAACATTGTTTATGGCTCGATAGCTGTGCACATTTTAGACCCAATACAGACATTAATGATGGGTTGATTGTCATGTATTCAGATCCTTCTCTTCCCTCCTCCCCTTCCCCCCACCCCCAGAAAAAGTTTACTATAGGCTTCTGGGAGACTTTGGTCTTAAAAACTGAAATCTTTTCATGCTTTACTATTTTTCTTAGGGATGATAACCAGATTCTCTGGTGTTTTTTTACCATGGGAGCTTATTATTTGTTCCTGAAGTGACTTCTATGCAGAGGTATGCAGGTGGTCTGGCAACTGCAGTTACTTTATCTGCTGACCCATGCCGAAGTCATGCTGGTGATTAACGTCCCTCAATGTTATCTGCTGGTGCTAACCAATAGAGGCTAACTTTTAAAACTTTTAAACCTTCAAAGGTATTAATTTGGTGTCTAAAGACTGCTGCCATTAACTTGTAAGTAAAACTGTTAGTGACAAAAGCTGCAGTCCTTTCTCTATTTTATTAGCATTTGTGGTTGTCACTAGTGATAACTCACTTCCTATGTGAAAAACTCTTGGAAATTTCTTGTCTGTAAGAGTATACTTCTCTTATAGAGAGGATCAGAGTGAGGTTTTTTTAAGGAATTTAAATGTGTTACAATCTAGCAACACAACTGAGATTGCTCAAAACAAAGTACCAGAGGATTTTTGTCCTTTGATAAATCTATATTAAATGCTGCACATAGTGATTACCTTTTGTACATCTGGAATGCTTGAGAGAGCTATTTGGTACTACCCAATCTTTATTTTTTTACCTGGGTAGTTATGAATCCATTGTTCTCAAAAGTCCTGGTTTAGCCAGAGTTCTATCTTGTATATTTTAGAATTATTTTTTTCTAATAAAAGCAATAAGTCTTGTCTCAATGCCTGCCCAGGTTTGTTTAACAGTATATCATGAAACTAAATGTAGAATAGTGATAGAGATGTAGCCGTGTTAGTCTGGGGTAGCTGAAGCAAAATGCAGGACAATGTAGCACTTTAAAGACTAACAAGATGGTTTATTAGATGATGAGCTTTCGTGGGCCAGACCCACTTCCTCAGATCAAATAATTATTTGATCTGAGGAAGTGGGTCTGGCCCACGAAAGCTCATCATCTAATAAACCATCTTGTTAGTCTTTAAAGTGCTACATTGTCCTGCATTTTGCTTCATGAAACTACATGGTCTGTTACCCTTGGGACTAGAGATGTTAAAGACTAGTCAACTATCTGATAAACATTTGCTTATCAGATAGTCTGTTGACTAGACGGTTTCTCCCTTCCCCTCCCCTTGGGCGCTGCCACTTTAAAACCCCAAGGCAGTGTTTCAAAGGGATAGCTGCCACTGCAGAGCTAATCCGCAGCTCAGCTGTGGAGCGGCGCTGCCCCTTTAAAACACTGAAGGGCCGTGGAGCCCAGGGTCAGCTGTGGACTCCTCAGCTAACCCCAGGTTCCGAGCAACATTTCCCCAGAACCCGGGGGTCCCAGCTGACTCCCCAGCTAACCCCAGGCTCTACAGCTGCCTTTTTAAAGGAGCAGCTGCTGCACAGCTGATCTCTGGTTCAGCTGTGCAGCGCTGCCCCTTTAAAATGCTGCATTGGGAGTCCCCAGCTGATACTGGGTAGAACCAGGATTAGCTGAGAAGTCCCTAGCTGACCCCGGGCTCTATGGCTTTGAAGTGCACAAGAGCCCCTGCTGGGGACTCTTGTATATTTCAAATCAGGCACCTGCGCGCAGCCCAGAGTCAGCGGGACTTCCCGCAGGCCTCTGGCTGTACACGAAGTTCCACATTCTTCTTTTGAAATGTACAAGTGCCCCAGCAGGGCTCTTGTATGTTTCAAAGGAGGGATGCAGAAGTGCCTGTCGACTACATGACTAGTCAGCGAACCGCATTTTAACATCTCTGCTTGGGACATGACACATCCTGAACAAGGGATTTTGTCAGACCATTGAAGGTCCATTCTGGCCCCTCTGCTGATGGATTCCAGGCTCTTCCAGAGTCCTTCAGCAGACCCAGCTGGGCTTCCCTCTGGGCTCTACATCCACACCTGGCTCCTCTGCTGGCAGGTCTTGCTCCTGGCCGGACCACTGGGCTCCTGGCTCCCGGCCTTCTTGGCGCAGCAGCTGGGCTCCACATCCCCTGCCAGGCTGCACTGCTGGGTCTGGCCCTGGCTTCCAGGTGGCCTCTGTGCCCCTGGCCAGGCTGCGCTGTTGGCCCTGACAACCAGACTCCATGCTGCTGGCTCCCCGCCTGTGGGCTAGCTCTGCTGCCAGCCCTGGCACCAGGCTCCTGGTTCCTCTCTCGCCCAGAGCTCTCTGGTCCAGCAACATCCGTGGTCCTGCTGGATCACAGATGCTGCCAGACCAGAAAGTCCTGGACTGCAGAGGTTCAACCTGTATTTGAACCTTGTTTTGTCACGCTGTGATTCTCAAGAGTGTGGGAAACATGACTATCATGTAATCCTCGTGAAAAATGTCAGTAGCACCTGTTACTTTGTGTTTGGACTCTGTATAATCAGTTTGCCACACATCACTGAAGTGAGGAAACTAAAGAGTTCCTAATGTTAACTTTAAAAATGTAAGTGCTGTCTCAAGCAGATGCTGAAGCCTTGCGTTTGACGTGTAGATTATTTATTTGCTTATCCTGATTTACAAATCCAATTCATATGTCTACACGGGAATTTTAAAAAATGCTGTACCAGAGCAGACGGCTCAGGCTTCTGCCTAAGCTAAAAAAATTGCTATGTAGATGTTTGGGCTTGGACTGGAGCCTGTGAGTGGGGGGGATCCCAGAACTGGGTCTACATCCCAAGTCCAAATGTCTACACAGCAGTATTTAGAAGGGATGTGAATGGTAAACTGGAGCAGCAGGGGGCTGCTCCAGCCCTGCAGAACCCACCACAGGCAGGGGCGTTGCAGCCCCTGTCTCCAGCCAGCATGCCCAGAGCAGCCCCTGTTTAATCTGTTAAACAGTTAAACGTGACATCTAACTGGGATTTCTCTGGCCTTACAAACTGGTTAGTGGCAAAATTCTACCATTTGTAATGTCCGTTGTGTGGAAGTCCGGTTACTAGATGTTTTGATTTCAGAGTACTCTTGTGTGAGTTTAAAAAAATAAAAAAGGCAGAGCCAGTAAATGCTTGTAATGAAAATTTAGATTTCAAACTCCTAACATCTGAGTATTGAGTGCCCCTGGTTGTAATTTTTTTCACTCTGAAAATACTGGATGCTTGTTTTAAGTAGCATAATAAAGCATGGTGCCTGTTCTTTTCTGCTTCTGTCTCTACCTTCCCTGAGAGAGATTTGTAACACACTTAAACGGCTTTCAAGACAAGACTTATAAATTAGTCCAATTAGCTTCTGACAAATCTTGCATTTCTCTGTAGATACATATTGTGAGATATTCAATATAAAGGGTATGATGCTGTGTTTGGAACAGCATGGATTTTATTACATAGGAATGAATGATTATAGCTATTTTAATCTTTAGGTCGACTGTACACAGCATTCTGAAGTCTGCTCTGAAAACCAAGTTCGTGGATATCCCACCCTTCTCTGGTTTAGGAATGGTGAAAAGGTGAGGGTGTAAATACAGTAACAAGGTCAAGCCTTTTTTTCTTCTGTGAAGATATGCAGGCTTGTAGAATCCTCTTATGGGGAGAAGTTGGCTTATTAGAAAGCCTTTTTGTAAGATATGTGAAGATGGATGCTATGGATAGGGTGGTGATGACTTCCTTAATGCCATAAATGAAACTTCTAACATAGTTCTGCATCCTGATTTTAGGGTTACCATGTTTGAACTTTCAAAAAAGAGGACACTCCTGAGAGGGGGGGTAACTGTATCAGTAGCTCTCGCTCTGTGTGTGTGTGTGTGTGTGTGTGTGTGTGTGTGTGTGTGTCAGTATCTACCAACTCACATTGTATTAATGTAGTATACAACGTTATATATATTAAAAACATTAATACAACGTGAGTTGGTAGATACAGATACACTCCCTTTCAGGAGTGTCTTTTTTTTTTTTTAAGTTCAAATATAGTAACCCTAACTGATCTGCAAACAACCAAAAATAATAAATTGTTCATAAACCAGGGATAGATATTGAAAAACATACTAACTTGTGAGAGAACTGTGGGCAGATTTTTATTAAATAAACAAAATACAAAGCTAAAAGATGGAATTCCACACCCTCTGATGTTGCCTATCCAGATTCACATTCATGGGTATTGAACTGCCCTGGAATCATCAGCTCAGAGCAGTGACTGTTCAGTTTGCACTTCTGAACATTTGGAATGAGGTTATAAGAACCCTGTGGCTTCAGTTGCCCTAATTTTAAAGAATTGCTAGGACTCTGAAGAGACTTGGGAAGTGAGGAGTGCAGATCTGTAGAGCCAATATATTTGAACAGCATCAGATCAGTTTTACTGTCAGTAATATTCTTCTCCTAAGAGAATTGCATCTGCCCATCTTCACATTTGGAAGATTGAGCTGAAGTAACTCTCTAAAGGAGGGCTAATTAAACAAAAGTGTCACAGAACTAGAAACATAGGGTTGGAAGAGACCTCAGGAGGTTGAATCCAACTACTTTCAAGCACTGGAGTAAGATTTAAATTAGTGAAAATAGTCTTGCATATGAATAGAGCTGAAAGTGACTTTACAAATTAAGTCATGCTTAGGTGGTCTGTTAAATTAATCTGCTTTAGAGATGGTGGAATGAGTTCTAAACTCCTTGTTCAGGAAGCCATCAACTTGATTGCAACAAGTCTAAAAACAAAGAATAACTAATTTCTTAAGTCTTTCTATTAATTCATTCCTAGATTTTCACAAAGGACTGAACATCCTAGGTAACTTTGTGAAGGGTATCATCATATCTAAATAACTTTATTACTTCCAGTGTCAAATTGGTTTATCTTTTTTCCCTAACTAGCTGGTATTAGGAAGAAAAGTAGAAGTTCTGTGTTGCAGTGCAAATTAGCCAACAACCAACTAAAGTAAAAAGTGTGGGGTACGAATGTGAATTGTGGCATCAAAGCCTATGAGAGAATCTTCACTTCTGCTCTGACCTTCTGGAGGCAGGACTAAGCTGGAAATGATGATTTAAGCTGACTACTTTCTCTATGGCCATAGCTGCGGAGACCAATGCTATGTCTACACTACGGGGTTTTCCTGGAAAAACTCTGCAGTATCCAGGGAATGCGTCTGTTCTTCTGTTTTTTTGTTTTTTTTTTGTGGAAGAGCAGACTCACTCTTTTGGAAGCCCTAGCTTCTTCCTCCCATGAGGAAGAAGGGCTCTTTCAAAAGAGGTTTTTTTGGAAAAGCCCCTTCTGAAAAAACTTTCAGAAAAAGATACACGAATTTATCGGAATTTTTCCGATAAAACGGTATGCAATTTGCATACCTTTTTCTAATACATCGGGGTAGTGTAGACATAGCCCAACACAGTAAAGGCTCTTAAACACAAGGAACATTCTGAGCCTCCATATAATTTCCAAGATACTTTATGTTGTTGTTGTCCCAAGAGAGACTATTGATGGTTGCTAATAATAGTGTACCTTGTCAGGACTGTCACACCTTAATAGATATTACGAAGAGCAATGGTCCCTTCAGAGTAGGATTTCTTAACAAGAAGGGTCTATTTTTTGAACAACTTATCCATTGGTGAAAATAAAGTTGCTCCTGTTCCCTTGGGCCTTTCAGCTCCTTCCAAAACCAGAAGCTAAGAAGAAAAAAAAATTGCTGTTAAGCTTGGTAAAGATTAATTTCCTTTTTAGCCACTGCCCTGGTGAACTACACATCTCTAGCAAGGTCCAGTTGGCCTTTTTCAACATCATGCTATGCCTCATCTGGACTCCCCTCAGAATCAGAAAGATAGTTCTTTGGACAGATATGCCACCCAGAAATAAAACTTCCAACCATTTGACCCAGCAGCTCCTGGAAAAGTGTATAGCTGTTCAGTGGGGAGGTCATAATACTGCTTAGTATGGGGGGAACTATTTCAGCCAGTTGAGCATTTGTCTCCATTGTTGTTGTCATCTTCCTCCTCATAATTGAATTTGCTATCATGTCATCAGTACTGGAAAGAGGTAGGTAAGGCCCTCGAAGGTGGTGGAGGAGAAAGAATGGGCAGAGCTGTTCCCTGCTGAAATGGATAAGAATGAGCAGGTACAGACTTGTCATGTGATCTTTGATCTTCCAGATTTAGGGGGGGGGGGGGGGGGGGGGGGAAGAGGCCACAAATATGTGGTTGGTGATGAATGAAATGAATTGCAAAGATAAGAGGTCTGCAATATGTCTTTCAATGGCACAGAAGATGACTAAAGAGGCATGCCTGTCTCACTCTTTTATAAGGTGTAGGAAAGTTGTATACAGTACCTTGAAAAGAAATTCCAAATCTAAGAGGTACATCTCATAACTCATATTTGAGGAAGCTGAAATTGACCGTAAAGACTTCTGGAACTTATTGGAGTCTGAGATTCCAAAACTGAAGCTTTGTCGAAGGTAGTACTAGACTTAACCAACAGAACATAGTGGCAATAGATCAAACTAAAGCACAGAGAGAGACTAAATACGATTGCTGTATTTTTTCTTACAGTCTGTTTACATACTGAAGATAATCTTAGTGATTTGAGACCTGGAAACATGAGCTAAATTCTTTTAGAAATGAGGGACAAAGATGTTGAGTGTTGTTAATTCCAGGTTTTACTTGAGCCAGACACTTTTTAAAATCGTGAATATTTCTTTTTAAATGAAAGTGCAGTTTCTAAAATTCAAGGAAAATATTCCATGGCAAATTCTGAATCATTGGTGTAAACTTAGTCCGATATGTTTTACTGATCATAATGCATTTTATTATTAATATGTATATTGCGTGCTCTGTTATAGATATGTACTATGTTTATCTTTAGATCAAATCCAAAACTTCAGAAAACTTTTCACAAAAGTTTTGATTAATTGTAGGCTGACCAGTATAAAGGAAAGAGGGATTTGGATTCATTAAAGGAATATGTAGATTCTCAGCTACAAAATGCCAAGAAAGCCCCAGAGGCTGATAAACCACCAGAAGTTCTACAAAAGCCTGCAGAACCCATTCATGATGAGGTAAGTGGTACTATGCTGTAAAATATCAAAAGCAACTCCAGCAATTCTGCTGCCATCCTTTAGTGATGGCTAAAATGATAGCTTAGTAACCTACAAGCAATGACTTTGTAACCCTTCCTTAAAGTTTTGAATGCAAAATTTATTAAAATTAATATTAGACATTATAGTTCAGCAGTTGTTGAACATATCTTAATCATTTGTGGTGCTTTTGTTAACCTGATGCATTGGACATTTTTAAATAAAGTCTTCCCATATGCTGTCATACTCTCAGTAAATTGTTTAAATAGCAGCATACGTATCTATCAATAGATTAAAAAAATAATTTTTTTGTCTACTGAATTGCACTTCAGCTGTCTTTCACATAGAATCCTTGTGACATCATATTTGGTCGTTGTGGAGATGACTGTCACAAACAGGATTCTGATCTGAAATAGAAGAGAGACAGCAGGAACAGGGGAGCCTCTGAAAAACATACATACTATATTTATAGGGAAAGGAAGGATGGAAGGAGGAAATTTTCCCAAAGAGGAAGAGAAAGCAAGAATTGTAGAGGGAAATATGAATGTGATATTTTGGCAGTAAAAGTTTTGCATTTGGAATGACTGCATTAATTGTATGTTCGAGCTACAGGAAGCTATGCAACAGCATATACAGCCACCATACAAAACACATGATAATAAAAATTCAGTACAAATTCCTTGTTTTGGCACCTTTGGGACCTGACTGATCCCAGATGATGGATTTTGTTGGACTGGGGAGGTCATTTCTTGCACCCCTCCTCTAGCCCTGGCCTCACTGCTGGCCTCCCAACCAGCTTACCCCCCTTTCACTGGCCCCCACTGCCCTTCCGGGTAGTCTCCACTACCCCTGTGCACACTGGGCTCCAGCTGCAGTACCCAGCAGTCCCACTGTTTCTGAGTTCCAGGCTCCTGCTGCCCTCCTGGGTAGCCCCATTACCGCATGTGAGGCTTCCACTACGTTGCTGGGAAGCCCCACTACTGTGCATCAAGATCCCACTGCCCTGCCAACCTGCAAGGTTCCCTGGTGCTAGCTCTCCACCAGGCTTCTCTGGCCCTGGAACATCCATGGTCCTGTCCGACAATAGATGTTGCTGGTCCAGAGAGCCCTGGATTACAGAGATTCAACCTGCAGTAGTCTACGTTGCCATACTTCATCACTTTAGGTTTTTATCTTTAGAAAAAAAATGCACTTCTGCTTTTTTTCTTCTTTGATAATGCAAATATAATTACTGAGAGTTTGGTAACATCCAGAGGTACAGCGTAAGTTTAATTTGTACAACATATTTGGTTTGTGAAGAGTGGTTATGTGGAGTATGGTGTGGATTAGAATTATAATATATTTTTAATTAAAGTTATCGGTGTCTTCCTCTTTGATTATTGTTCTCTTAAAATAAAAGATCATTTTTATTGGGGGTAGGAAATAGTGTTGTCAGTTCCCTCTTTTATTTATTCGTAGTTGTAACCTGAGGTTTTATAGAAAATGGATTTGGTCATTCATCACTGACTTATTATCTGAAGACAGCCTTCTCCCCCGCACAGTTTTTAGAACAGAAGCTTAGCCCTTATTTGGTAGACTAAACTAAGTTTTTTATAAATTCAAACTAAACCCATACATAAGCAAAATGTTGTCCTTTTTAAAACCACTCTCCTCCCATTCTTCAACTACCACTTCCTGAAGTCTTTGCACATTCCATTTTTGATGCCGGTTTTGTTTTTTGCATTTTACACTTGACTTGCAAATGTTTGTTTAAGGTGACAAGTCTGTGTACATTATATAAAATAACATAATAGGAGAGCTTTTTAAAATAGCTCATTTAATACACACTTTACTGGTTTTTTACCCTTCAGACTACAGTGAACCCTCGTTTATCGCGGTAGATAGGTTCCAAACCCGACCGCGATAGTTGAAAATCCGCGAAGTAGGGACACCATATTTAACATGTATACAGCGAGCCCTCGCTACTTCGCGGTTCGACCATCGCGGATTCACGTATATACATAATGTAATGAAAAAAGTCCGCGAAGTCGTGAATCCGCGATGGTCGAACCGCGAAGTAGCGAGGGCTCACTGTAATTACAAGCTCAATGATTCCATAGGAAGTTACATGCCATGAACTTGTGAAGGTTTGTTAGCTGCTAGACACTTAGCCTATCAGATACAATATTACATATTTTTCCAAATATCAGCAAAATTGGCCTTAAAATATTGTAATGTCTTTTGCATATAAGGGAAAGACATCATTTGGCAAATAGCAGTGGCATACACCGGTTATCTTATTGAATAGATGCCATTGTATTAACAGCAACAGTTTTGTGAGTTTCTCTGTACCATATTTCAGAAGTTCAAAGGATCAACTTCTTATACAATTTTGATTTGTCTTTTTCTTGGCAGTCTACAGTCTTGTCTCTCTCTGAAAAAGACTTTGACCAAACCGTTGCTAATGGGGTTACGTTTATTAAATTCTATGCTCCATGGTAAGTAGTTTTTGTATAAATTGTCCTGAACTATTGATATTTAGCTTTTTATTCATTATTTGATGTGGGTTTTTTATGCTCCTATGTAATTTTATTTAGATATATAAAAATGCATTAAATCTTAACTCATGTACAAAGCTTGACTCATTAAATACTTGTAAATAAGCAGAGGGGCAGCAACATTTTCCTATCTATTCCAACAACCTACTCGGCCCCAGAGAAAGTCTAGCAAAACCACATTTGCTCCATATTCAGAATCAAATCGAATGTCTGGCAGAGATGAGGGGAAAGGAGGGAAGTGACTTTTCCTTTGGAGCCTCACCACCTAAGGATACCTTGACTTGGTTTAAACTGGCTGTTGCTTTTGTACTTCTGGTGATCTCACCTGTCTTGGAATAACATGAGTGAGGTAGTCTCTGCATCAGAGCAGAGCCCAAACTATTTAGGATTTCTGAAGTTAAAAACTTCATCTGAAATAAGCCTGGGGGCTCTTGTGCATTTCAAAGCAGAAGCGCCCGCATGGAGCCTGGAGTCAATGTGACTTCCCGCTGGCTCTGGGCTGCACCTGGCGTACCAGCTTTGAAATGCACAAGAGTCATCAGAGGGGGCTCTTGTTTATTTCAAAGCGGAAGCACCCTCATGGAGTCTGGGGTTAGTGTGGGACTGACGCTGGGTTCCATTCAGCGCTGCTGCTTTGATATGCTGTGCAGAGCCAGGGTCAGCTAGGGACTCCCCAGCTGATTGTGGGCTCTGCTCAGCATTTCAAAGTGGCAGTACCACATGGAGCCTGGATCAGCTGGGGAGTCTCCAGCTGACCCGGGCTCCACATGGCACTACCGCTTTGAAAGGCTGTTTTGAAACACTTTGAAATGCTGTGCAGCACTGCTGCTTTGAAGTACCCCCTTTCTGTCCCCTTTGTTGCCTCTATCTGATAGAGGCAGTGTGGGGGGGGAAGCAAGTAGTTGAGTCAACTATCCAATAAGCAAGTGCTTATTGGATAGTTGACTAGTCCTTAACATCCTTAACATGGATAATGAATGTAAAGTGTGCATGCAATGGTAAAAGTTACAAATGATTAATTTGTATTTAGTTTCTGCTTGTTACTGAAATGCCCAGCACGGCTGGTAGATTCCAGTGTTGCAAACCTGTGTAGCAAACATATCCACTTCCAGGAGGTGTTAAAATTTCTTTGCTTTCTTCCACAAACCTGTAAACTTCAGTTATATCTAGATTAAGTCTTAGGCAGCTCTCTCTCCTTTCTACTCCAATCTGTTAGCACAGGGGCTCCCAACCTTTTTTATACCGTGGACCAGCAAACCCTGTCACAAAATTTTGGTAGACTGGCAACATTTCATTTGCATATTCAATATGCAAACAGTGAATATGCAAATAAATTGTTTCTGGTCCACCAAAAGCCCTGGCCTTCAAGCTGCCACCAACAGTTGGCTTCAGCTCTGGCATTCGCCATGTGGCGGGTGGCTGCTGTAGCTGAAGCCAGCTGCTCGCACCAGCTCTGGGGGCTGAGCTGTGGTATACTCCAACCCCCTGAACCCCCAAGTGCCATCCCTAACCCCTAGAGCCCTCCACTACCCCCCAGCACTAGCCCCGTCCCTGGAGCCCCTAGTGCCTGAACTGTCCCCCCTCCCCACCCGCCCTCTCACCTAGCTCTGCGCTTGCCTCCCAGCTGCCAGCTGAGCACTGCCCAGGTCACGGCTTCTCTAAGGATGCCATGCTGGGCTCTGCACAGCCCTCCCACCACGCAGCGAACTGCTCTTCCACGTCCAGGAGGAGCCCCTGCTCCTGCCCGGCACTGGTTGGCTGGGAAGTGGGGCAGGACACAGCTCTCACCATGGCAGGAAGGGAGGCACTGGGCGGTGTACCACAGCCCCGGTCCCTAGAGCCGCTGTGGCCTGACAGCCAGCGGCGCTCAGCCTGGCACTGATCTGCAGTCCAGCAGTTGGGAACCACTGTGTTAGCAAATTCCACCTCACTGGCTGTGCTGGAAAAGATGGAAAAAGCTGAATGTTATTGTGTACAGAAGACATGTCATTCACATTTTCTCATGCATCCTCCTATTAACACCCAAGATGCATCAAACAGGAATATAAAACTGATATACTTGTTGTATTGAAGTGCTAGTATTTCAGAGCACTAGCTAGCCATGTGAAGTGCAGCAGTACTAGGCAAAGGCAACCAATGGTTTAATGTGCTCAGCAATCTCAGATTTTACTCTGGTTTATTTTGAGATGAGGGGATGCTCTTCTTACTGTTTACAAAAAATACCATGGAATTTTTAATTTGTACCTAGCTGGGTAAGTGATTACCCCCTTACACATGGCACTATTCCCTCTTACTGCTGTTTCAGCACTAACTATGAGCCCATGTCATGATGTAGATAATCTAGTGACTCTGATGCATGCTGAATGTGATAGGATACTTTTGTTAGAGGGCAACTCATGTACCCTGTTATACATGAGACACACTGCGGAAAGAAGAGAAACATAGTATATTAAATTGTAAAGTCAGAGTAGAACTGCTGGAAGACTTGTCATGGCTTTTTCTTACTCAAAAGATCAGCGTCTTACGTGTATTTGGTATTAAAGATATATATTTGTATACTGAAAAACAGTGCTGCCTTCTCTGCTCATTCTGTTGGTAATTTCTTTTATCTCATCTGAAACCAGACTGTAAGCTCACAGGGCAGAACAGTAGTTTTTATACAGTGGTGGTTCTTAGCATGCTTTGGGTTTGGTAAACTAACTTGCTGATTGGTGTAAAAAATTAACTGCTCTTTTTACTCATCACTGTAGACTCAGTGCAGCTAGGAGGAAAGGAGGTGAATTCTATTTGATATGACTCATAAGTGGAATTATTCACTGTTTATATAGTACCATTTGGGGAGGAGGTTGCACATGACCAGATTTTGCCTACACAATCTATAAATTACAGGGAGAAAATAATTTGGCTTGAAAATTTAGAACCTAGTTGTAGTTTGCAGGGTTGGAAATTAGTTTTCTGAGAACTGAAATATCAGTAGAATCCCAAAAATCTGTTTTAACTTACTTTTCAGAGTAGAACTGCTCTTTAAGTGTCTTCTTCCCTTCTCCCCCTTTTCTTACTGGATTCTAAAAAGGGCACTGATATACAAAGAACCAACCTGTTAACCAATCTATTCTCTCTGGCAGTAGTTATTACAAAGTTGTAGTTTAGGAACGTGTTTGCTACATTCATGTAATTTGTATTCTATTCTTAGCTCAAAAAAATCATGCCTCTGTATACAATTGTAGTTCTTTGTGTACAAATGATCTTTTTCCTTTCCAAGTAGATGTATTTGTGTTTGGCTAAGTAAATGCTGTTAGGTTTAGATCTACTTTTGCCCTTTAGTTTATTTTAGGTAAATATTAACATTAAGTTACACAGTAAGTATGAAACTATCTTAATTGTTTTTGTGCGTGGTCAGTAATGCTTTTAACACTGTGTATATGAACAGAATAGTTCAAATATATACTTGTTTTCTGAATGGCAGAGACTTGTCATCATCTCTGTCAATGCCTGAATCAAGCCTTAAGATTCTCATGGACTTCTTTAACCACCAATGTAAGGTGCAACTTAGGTAAAACAACATGAGCACTGCATATAATCTTTACATTCTAAAATGCTTATTTTAGGGATTTGTTTCTTGAAGGCACTGTAGAATTAAAGTTCAAAATGTGAACAAAATACTATAAAAATCTGGTAGTGGTTAATTTTTTTTAAAAAAGTCTTCATATTCTTTTTTTATAAAACATATATCCAGTGGCCGACAAATTGAAAGTAGGAATAAGGGATCTTCATGAAAAGAGCTTATTTTCCGGAGAATCGCGTCTACACTGGCGCTTTTCTCTGGCAAAAACCCCGACCCGGAAAAAAGCGGCAGCCATGTAAATGCAAATGCTGCGGGGGATATTTAAATCCCCAGCGGATTTGCAATTCCGAAGTGTCTCATTAGCATCCCTTTTCCGGAAAGGGATGCCAATGTAGACACAGCTGAAATGTGTACAACTGTGTAATGCAGATCAGAATCTAGCCAGTATGTTGTGTTTCGCTGTAGAGAGCAAAAAATCAGTAGCAAACTACTTATTTCTAGATTTAACCAATATGTACCATGGTAGTGGCAAAACAACAAAGGAAGCAAATAGTAACTTGAGGATGATAAAAATGTATTTTGCAAACAAGACAAAACTAATGTGTGATTGTTTTTATTTTTCAGAAAGGTTACATTTAAGATGGAAAATGTTGCAGAGTTCAGGGTTTGAGAAATATTATGCATTTTTTCATTGGTATTACTATAGGAAATTCAATTTTATAGTGCTAGGAGGCTATATTATTAAAAGGGGATGAGACAAAATCTTGCTAGGAAAACAGAAGTCTCATTTATGTCATAAATTTTGTGTAATATGACTTAAAAGCAGACACACCCCTTGAAGTGACTTATCAGTGTCTTGGGTTAACTTTTGTGGGAGAAGAAGTGACATTGTGCAGCTAATTACTGTTCTGTCCGTGCCCACTAGCTTATTTAAAACTAACAGTATACCTTTTAAACAGTGAAGTAATTGGTGTTTAAACAAGCAACTTTATTTAAATATATTCTGTGATTTTTTCATGTTTGGTTTCACAAGCTTCTGGTGAGTAAGAGATGTGAATGTACACAATACTGTACCAGAAGAGACTAGATAAAATCCAGAAACTTTTTTAGACTTCAAATCAACAGGCTTTTTTCAAATATACAAGTAATACACCTTGTCCATTTACTTATCATTTTGGCACATTTTATGAATGATAAAGCGGCTTCTGCATACACTGGAAGATGTCTGCTGAACATGTCTGTTTGTTTCTAGGTGTGGTCACTGCAAGAACTTGGCTCCAACTTGGGAAAACCTCTCCAAAAAACAATTTCCAGGTTTGACAGATGTCAAAATAGCAAAAGTAGATTGCACCATCGAACAGGATGTCTGCAGCAGATTTTCTGTAAGTGTGGATGGTTTAAAATTAATGTGATAATCTTAAACTTGTGCCAAGGTTGAAATCTCCATTACTTAGCCAGGTGACAGTTTAGTGATCCTATTGCTGCAATGTTGTTACTGCCTTGCAGTGTGGGGGAGGCAAAAGTGACTATTACTTAGTAAGTAGGGAACTCCCTGAGCTAGTGAATATGTAAAATGCTATATACAAAGTGGAACAGCTGCAACAGGCATGCCCCCTGCACTGCTTAGGGCACTCACCTGAGAGAGAGAGAGAGAGGTAGCAGAGCAGGGATTTGAATTCCTTAGGCTATGTCTGCACTGCAGCGCTATTTCGGGATACCAGAGGTATTCCGAAATAGCTATTCCGCATCTTTTGAGCATGCCTGTTATATTTTGAAATAACGGCCTCACTATTCCAAGGTCTCTGTAAACCTTATTCCATGAGGAGTAAGGGATGTTCCAGAATAGCAATTTATTTCAAAGTAAGTGCTGTGTAGACAGAGCCAAATTTTGAAATAAGATACGCAATTTGCGTAGCTCAAATTGCATATCTTATTTTGACCTACGGTTCAGTGTAGCCACACCCTTAGTGTGCTGAATCCTCTTTCTTAGGTATCCATCTCTTTCCTGAAATCTACAGGCAGCCTATCTACCTCAGGGCTGTTGATTCCACTTGACATCAGGGGGTCTAAAGTTAAGCACTGCTAAGCTTATTGTGTGAGGCTGCTGGGGGCATAAAGATACTTGTAGACTCCAGAAGTCACATGTTTGTTTTTCTTCCCACTCTCCCTTCCCAAAAGGTGCACGGTTATCCAACGCTATTGCTTTTCCGAGCAGGGAAGAAAGTCAGTGAACACAGTGGAGCCAGAGATCTTGAAACACTGCATAAGTTTGTTTTGCGTCAGGCAAGGGATGAATTGTGAAGCACACATGGATACTTCTGCCCTGACTGTTCTTACACAGTAACAGGGGAAGTTAAATCAAGTTAATGTTACCGAGGGTGTGGGGTTTGGGGTTTTTTGGTTTGTTTTTGTGGGGTGGGGGAACTGAATGTACTGACTGCTGGTATCTTTGTGTATGTTTTAAAGCCATCCTGTACTGATTTTTTTTCATTATTTGTCAAGGAAAATTGCTAACAACTAGTTACTGTGCAAATTGAGTATTTTCAGCATCAGTATTACTAAATTTCTACCTTCCCCATGTTGATAGAAATAGTTTACTTTTAGCTTAAAATAGATGAGGAAAATAAGGGAAAGGATAGACTATTTTTGTCTTTAGGTTGAATTTGGGTAAAGGCTTGCTACCAAATCGTACACCATTACTAAAAAGGTGCAAGCCACAGCTGTACTAATCAATGTTCCCTTTTCAACTGAAGCTGTCTTAATATAGCAGCTAGTCAAGAAATGAGGTTGAAAAAGACACCCACACACACACAAACACCCCCCCGATGGATGATACCAGCCAGGACACTATTATCTGCTTGATTCCTGTTAATATTTCTCTTATTATGGGAGGCTTTAGCTATAATGAAAATAATGGTACTTTTAAATATGTGCCTGAATATTACTGATGCCATAGCAGACATGGGGATTGTATCACTGTTCAAGCAGAATATTTCTCTTTGGTGCTAGAGGAGAGTGTGTTTGTTAGCATGTAAAGGGGTAAATCTCTCTTGGGAAAATCATTAACATATTTAGAGACAACTAATTGCAAATTACTTTCTGTATTTTTTCTTTCCCCATTTGCTAGAACCTCTCATCTCCCTTAACAAGCAGAGTAATAGTAGAGTTAATCTGCTCCTGCTGCTTATTAGTAAAAAAATGCAGTTTGTTTCTCATTTTCTTTAAATGAGAAGCAGCATTCCTAAAATAGCACTGCATTTCCTCTTGAACTCTTCCACAATATTCCTGTTGCTACCTTTGAATGGAAGAACATAAACTTTTGTTGCCTTGGATGATTTGATTGTGTGAGGTCTTCTAGTACATTAATGCCAAAGAAAGCTAAGGGGCTAAATTCTGTCCTCACTCACGCATCAACTTTCAGTGACATCTCTGGGAATTACATGTGTCTACAGGCAGCACTTTGTGCTGCCTTATGTCTGTCTGTAATAGTGAAAGTTATCAGTAACTTACTCCTTCTACTTCACTTTATTCCATCTAGCAAGCACCACGCATTCTGTTCAAACTAAAAAAAAAAGTGTAAGCATGGAAAGTCTACCATGAGGGCTAAGTATTGCATGGCAGATGTATTAGATAAAATATATATACACTTCTGCCTTAAAGAAAGCCTTTATTAAAAATTTTTAAAACTTGAAGCACAATCTCATGAGTAGCCCAAGCTTTGCCTCATGAGTTTCTTGTATAAAATCAAAGTAGTACAATTGTTTACACAAACTTTCTAAATAAATTTTTTTAAAAAAAAAGCCTATTCTTGCTATAAATGTTACAGAACAATGAATGACAAATGCAATAAATTATAGCTTGTATTTACAATAAGCCTTTTTAAAGGCAAGAGTTAGAGGTAAGTGCATTTAATACAAGTTTAACATTGATCAGAAACAAAATCATTGTTAACAACTTTGGGAATAAAACTAGTCTATTAGAAGCTATGGCTAAAATGTGAATATATTGTTTAAACCAACTTCTTTAATGCGATTTCTTTTTGGCCAGTAGTTTACAGGAACTGCATCTTCACCAACATGCCCACTCTACAGCTCAGGAGCTCCTTCTGAATTTATGTATTAGCTTACAGATGTAGAGCAAAGAATGTTTTGGAATAAAACAGAACAGACTTAGTTGATGCATCTTGCAGGAGTTATAGAATCTAAACATGGTGGGAAGCTTCATAAGAACAAATTTATAAGTTTACTGCGTTGATGGAATATTACTTAAACAGGCAGGGAGTGGCTTTGTCCTTCTGTAACTAATACATGGTGCAGTCACATATCTAATCAAGTCTATGATTCAGCATTTGTGTTGGACAATGCAAAGGCTTACTTTGGCACAACTGAAGATGCTCTTTATCAGCTGGGCTGCTGGAAGAAGCTACTTATACTGATGTAGCAATGATCCTTTAAGGCACTTTCAAGCCTTTTTTTGGAAATTGGGTTTGTCCAACATCAAAGGTATGATGCCCAGGTATTAACAGCATAATTTCTATATTGTATTGTTACAGCTTTGCTATTTGTCTTGGATGGAGCTTAATACATGAGACACTTTTTCAAAACTTACATTTAGGAGAGACCGGTTTGGTAAAACTGAAATGCAGACTGATACGTTCAAGCTCCTGGGTAATGTTTCTGTTGCTCTTAAGTGATTTTAAGACCACCGAGGGAAATGGTTGAAGCTAACAACATTTGTAGGGACAGATTTCTTTCTTGTAAGCCTTAGAGATCATGTTTTTGCAGATCTGTCAGAATGGCCACCATGCTGTAGATCAGTCTTAAACCCAGCACCTGTTACCATTACAAAGTGAGTCACATGGAAGAAATACCCTACTGCTTCCTTTCATTAGGAGTACACGTTGCATTTTGAAAATCTGCTTTATCTCAAGAGCATTTGTTGACTTTTTCCAAGGTCAGGTAGGTATAATCTAGAAGTTCATGATAGAACTGCACAGAAGATCTGTGTGAAGAACGTGTCAGTGACACCCACATGCTCTTACTACCATATTCCTATATTTTTTCAAAATGACATTAGAGTTATCATCAAAGTAAAGAACGGATATGGCATTTAGTTTGGTAGGTGCACAACAGGGTTTAGGAACATATTCGGGATTCATAAGATGAACCTGTTTCAAAAAAGAAAACAATTTATTGTACCAATGATCTGATCTCCAACTTCACTTGCAGTTTAGCACAAAAGTCTTTCTATATACTCACCAGAGTTTGTACAATGGCATGATTG